CTATACACTTATATAAATATATCATTTCTAACAGAATAATATAATAACGTAGTAGATTTGTAAATATATATTATAGCACAAGATATTACGTATATTTATAATTTAAATAAAATATTAGTTCTCAAATATAAGTAATTTTATATTTCTTTTTTTGTAAATTATTAATAAATAATTCTAAACGCAACCTAAATATTAATTTTACGACTCTATGTTTACGACTATGTCTACTATTACACTTTGCCCATTTTTTGGGAAAATCATCATTTACTTGCATACATGTGTGCGTGCGGGCAAACGTAATTACAGGCCGCTTATGCACACATTCATTGTGTTGTTGCTTCAACTTTGAACGGAATTTTGAATAACACTATCACTTTAAGTCTAATTACTCTATGCTTCATAGTTAATAGCCACAACAACTAATGTATGTATGCAGTGTGTAATTTATTTTTATAGACAATACTGCTGATAATAATTTATCGGGTAATAACCACGATTGCACAGAACTCCAGTATGAAAGAGCAGCATTATTACGGTTTTGTTTCGTATGAAAAATGAAGTAGGCCAGAGACCTTTTTTACTGGTATTCCCATCTTAATATACTCAGGGATGATAAAAAATCAGAATTTTATATTTTTAATTGAGGATAGACGTAAGTATCCATGGGCCAAGTCATCCTTCAAGATCGAATGGTTTTTGTGCTGGTTTGTAACCGTAAATTCGAAAAAAATATATATTGGCTATCCATACCCCTTAGACTGGAACACAGCAATTAATGTTATAATATTATTAATAGTTATAATTTTGTGAAAAATAAATGAGAGATAATGATTTCTTATATTTACGCGAACACTACACATTGAAATAATACTAGTTTTTACGGAATTTATCGAGTATATTTTAACTTTTTAAATACCCGACGTTTCGAACGCTTTACAGCACTCATGGTCACGGGCAGGACTAAAATGTTCAACGTCCATATGTCACAGTTAACCGCGGTTACCATAGATTAAAATTTAACTTTTGTTCCGATCTATGCAGTTAAAAACAAAAGTTAAATTTTAATCTATGGTAACCGCGGTTAACTATGACATATGGACGTTGAACATCAGTCTGCCCGTGACCATGAGTGCTGTAAAGCGTTCGAAACGTCGGGTATTTAAAAAGTTAAAATATACGCGATAAATTCCGTAAAAACTAGTATTATTTCAAAATGAGAGATTTTTCTCTTTATGTCATCATCACTTTCATTACAGCCCTTCACAAGTCCAATGCTGGATATAGGCCTCCCCCAAGGAATACCATAAAGCACGGTGCTGACCCACTTGCATCCATTGACTTCCTGCATGTCTTACAATGACATCACTCCATCTAGTGGGGGACGCCCTCCACTTGACCTGCCGTTACGAGGCTGCCACTCGAGAACATTTCTTTCCCATCGGTTATCGGTTCTTAGAACTATATAGCCGGCCCATTGCCGCTTTAGCTTACTAATTCGTTGGGCTATGTCGGTCACTCTGATTCTACTGTACTATCCTCATGCCTAAGTTTATCACGCAAAGAAACCCCGAGCATAGCCCTCTCTATAACTCTCTGAGCGACTTTGAGCTTCCTCATAAAGCCGGCAGTGAAGGACCAAGTCTCAGATACATAGGTCAGCACTGGCAACACGCACTGGTTGTACAAGTTGTAGCTTTTTGTGTACAGTTGAAGTATGCCTGAGGAAATTATGTGTTGTAATTTCCCGAACGCTGCCCGAGCCGAGTTTAATCCGTCGATTGAACTCTCGGTTGAAGTTGGACTTACCTAGTCCGGACTATTTGTCACAGGTAAACTTACTCGTCAACAACTTCGAGCTTAATGCTCCTAACAACCACCGACATAGGTGTGACATGAACATTACATATGACTTTTGTTTTGTCCATGTTTATCTTAAGACCAATCCGAAGGGAGACACTATTGAGGTCATTGAACATAGTGCTTAGGTCCTCCAGCGATTCTGCCGTAAGGACTATATCCTACGCAAAACGAATGTGAGTGATGTACTCGCCATTGACGTCAATACCGTAACCTTTCGAGTTCAGTAGCTTGAAAACGTTTTCCAATGCAGCGGTGAAGTTTCGGGGATATTACGTCACCCTGTCTTACACCTCTCTGCAGTTGGATAGGTTTCGTACTCTGGTTCTGTACTCGGATATCCATCGTAGTCCTACGGTACAAACACTTCAGCACTTCGATATGGCGATAGTCAACTTGGTACCGCTAAAAGGAGGTAAGTCCCTGAAGCACCGCCCAAATTTCGACGGAATAAAAGGCTTTCTCGCAGTCCACATACGCAAGATAAAGTGGCAGATTGTACTCTTCGGACTTCTGTACAATTTACCGTAGGATATGTACGTTGGTCCATGGTGCTAAATCCTTTTCGGAAACCAGTTTGTTCGGGAGGCTGGAAGTCGTCGAGTCTGCGTGCGAGACTTTTCGTAACGACTTCCAAAAACAGCACCCATACCCGGTTTAGAAGGGAAATCAGTCTGAATTTCTTCAGGAGAGCGTTGTCGCCTTTCTTGAAGAACAAGACCACCCCGCGTTTCTGCTCTACGCCACCGGAGTAGTGCCACCATGGAGAAATTGAAGAGTTTTTGAAGGAGTTTAAGTATAAGTTTTCCACCGGCAGAAGCTGCGCTGTAATTCTATCTTCACCCGAGTACTTGCCGTTTTAAGGTGCTGGAGAGCCATTATAATCTCGCTCAGACTTTAGTTCAGGATATCATCTTTATGTGCATTCGTTAAATTAGTGGAAGTAAGACGACGACTCTATATAATGTACTATAATGCTAATATTTTTATGAGTTAATGAATTAAAAGTTAAAAAAAGTAGGGCACTGATATTCTCATATTTCTGAGTGGTTTATCGAACGATTAGTCCACTGCTTTTCAAAAGCGTGTTGGCAGAATTCAAATGTCTTTGAAATGTTAAATAAATCAGAAAAAGTAAAAAATTAAATCAGGACATGAAATTGCAATTACAATTTAATTGACTGGTAAGGTAAGTGTAAAACGGCCGCTCATTAGAATTAGATGGAGCTACGACCTGCTAAGAAATTTTATTTTAATAACATGGGCATTTAAAGGTCGAAAGTCTACAGAAAGTAATCTTTGCGAGTTCCTTGATCATCTCTATATTGCAATGGATAGTGGACTGTAGGTAGATGCAGTGTAGACCGATTTTACAAAAGTATTTGACAAAATTTCACATAATATTCCGATTCACAAATTAGATCAAATCGGTGTACATGGTGATTTACTTCGATGGATATCTTCACTGTTCATCATTTCTCCCAGTTAGTTCAGGTGTTCCTCAAGGTTCGCATCTTGGTCCACTACTATTTATAATATTTATAAATGATTTAATATCCTGCTTCCATAATTCCAAAATTCTCCTTTTTGCAGATATGAACATTTTCAGGTCTATTAAATCTATAGAAGACTGCAATCTACTTCAAGAAGATCTGTGTAGGCTTAGTTCATATTGCCAAGCAAATCATCTTTACTTTAACATCAGGAAATGTAGTATTACCTCATTTGCCAGGAAAAAGAATCCAATCCTCTTTAACTATAAGCTCGACGATAATTTAATAAAGAGAGTAAGTGAACTGCGTGATCTTGGTGTTCAGTTGGATAGTAAATTGTTATTGAGATCACATATTAATATCATAACTCAAAGAGCTTATAAAATGCTAGGTTTTGTTATGCATATCTCAAAAGATTTTAAAAACTCTACAACATTAATTATACTATTTAATACACTGGTGCGGGCTATTCTTGAATATTGTTCTTCGTGTTGAAATCCTCAATACAAAGTTTATGTTAAAATTATTGAAACAATCAATAATAAGTTTCTGCGTCACTTAAAGCGATATAATTCTTCTGTAGACTCTATTATTGATAGCTTAGACACAGAGTAATACACTCGAAAAACGCCGTGATATAAGAGATCAAATGTTATTGTACAAATTGCTACATAATATCATCGACTCTCCCCTACCTTTAAGCAAAGTGAATCTTGCGTGTCACCGGTTAGGTGCACGAAATAAATCTCTTTTTGCATTACGCAAAGTTAAAACGAAGAATGCTTCACAAAATTTTGTATCTCGTACATGTAAAAATTTTACCTTAAAATATTGTGAACTAGATATTTTTCACCTTAAATGTAATAGTTATAAAAAGATATTGTAAAACTCAATTTATAATTGGTAGCTACACAATAATAATAATAATAATGTCCTCCAGACCGCATTTCGGCCACGGTGGCCTGCCTTAACGGAGGCTAGCCAACGGCGCAGGACAGGATTATAGTGCCCAAGTGTATGCGCAAGCATAGGTGCACTCTCTATCCCCTCACTCTCATAATCCGATGGGACGGTAAACCGACACGACCGGAGAGAGATCAGGCGCAGGACTAACGGCTTTACGTGCTTTACGAGGCACGGAGGTGAGACACCGCCAACTTCCTGACTCCGGGCTACTGAGAATTTCTTGTCAGAAAAACTCAATAATTGATCTTTTGGCCCGACCCGGGATTCGAAACCAGGGCCTCATGATCAGTAGTCGCACTACTACAACCACTAGATCAACAAGGCAGAGGAGAGTATAATTGGTAGCTACACAATAGGTTGTATGTATTGCATTACTTTTAACTGCTTAGTACTTAATGTTTAATTATAAATACCATTTAGTTATTTTTTTAATCTTTAAACATATTGTGGTTGCAAGCTTTTATGTATTAGATATCTGTGGAAACTTCATGGGTTTTAGGATTACTTTTATATGTTTTTATAATGTTTTTTTTATTGTAATGTATGTTTCCCTTAAAAAGCAAATAAATAAATAAAATTCATCAAGATCTTTCATAACGGACTAAGAATTTATCATAAAACCATACTCGCATTCCTTCGTTATCATTTGTATGTGGAAAATAAATTTTAATAAGATGAACGTACCCTCAGTAAGCGCAAGACTCACAGGAGTATCTCCCTCTGAATTCTTCAGATTCAAATTCGGCACCAGACTGACGTTGCTTCTATCCGCAGCTGGCAAGTCACCTTTTTCCACAAGCTTTTTGTGTTCGATGATGGCTAGTACAGCACCTTCATGGTTGTTTAGGACGGCTAAATGTAGAGGGGTTTGTCTGTAATAACATGCTTCTTTTACACATTTTGGAGTAACAGTCGATCATATTACGTATATAGTTAATTATCATTTCTATTTTGTTTTCTATTCTATATTTCTACAGCTACGACAAATCTATATTGTCAAGGCATTAAGTTTGCCCTTTGTATTCTTTTGTTTTACGGAATACAATGCAAAGAATAAATAAAATTAAAGAATTAAAAAAAATATTATTTTATTGAATGAATAACGTTAATGATAATGAAGACAGAATTAATTTTTTTCATTCTAATAACACAACTTATCAAAAGTCTACTGCTGAGACATAGGTCTACGCCATATAATATGTTTTCATAAAACTGAAGTTATTAGCGAAAAACCAACCACCTGGTGATAAGTGGCTTTTGAACCGACAACCAACCTTAAGCAAAAACACTATAGATGCATTGTCAACACTGAGGACAAAGATGGTTTTCCTCTAGGCTCTAGGCTCTCCGCCATAACCATGAATAGAACTATTAACTTATGACCACAGATTAATAACTAACTCACCGATAGACGGTGTCCTCATGCTCGCCGTACGCAGTCTGCACGTTGTGCCGAGCGCCGTGCTCCAGGAGAGCGGCTGTTAGTCGTGTGAGGCCATTAGCACAAGCTGCATGAAGTGGCGTAAGCCCCGCCTCATTGCTATGATTTAGATCTCCATTCAAGTGTGACACTAAAAATACTGCGGAATCCTAGATTTAAAAAAAAGCTTATCACTAGCGGGAATATACCGTTGAACTTATTAATGAGTAATAAATAACCATGAACGAAGCTGTATAGTGGCGGAGTGTGAAAATCCATTCCGCACTTTCACCCCGTTTCTTCATCTCATTCATCATTTTCATATTTATATATATATATATATATATATATAGTTCATCTCTCCACTTCATCTCGTCTATGAGGAGGCCTGTATTCAATAATGGATTTTGATAGGCTGTCATGATTGAAAATAAATGATGATGATCTGTAGGTATTTTCGATTAAGTTCTTTCACGAGTACAGCTACTTATACGTAAATATTGGATCATGGTCTAATCGACGAAAGGCATATTATTCCTCGTTATGCAAATAAGGTTTATGTTACATAACGAATTTTACTGTTAATTTACAACGTACTAGGCCACAGATTAATGTTGTTGTTCACAGATTAATAATGAATGCTAATACGTAAGCTACGCGGTGAAGTAAGCCTTACTGCCTGCCTATCTTGAGAAGTGGTACGTGATAGAGCCACGTTGCAGCTGTATTACGGTTGTAGCACGACCGGGGAAGGACCACGCTCTCAAAGAATACCAGCGTAAAATAGCAGCTTAATACTGCTTACTTCGTATGGTGAGTGTAGAGATCCGGAGACCCTTTTTTACTGGAAACGAGGCATTACATCTTAGTCCTCAGAGGTGACAACGCATCTGCGTTTTGATTCTTAATCGAGGATAAATGTAGATGTCCAAGAGCCACAGCATCAACTTACCATCAGGTGGACTGTGTGCTCGTTTGTCACCCTTATCCTACAAAAAAGTAAAAAAATATTTCAAGGATATTTTAAGTCCACCAATACGCATTTAGGCATAGTGAATTTTTACCAACTATAAAACCCTCCTTGAAAATAAAGATGGCCTGTGCCTTGCTGCGCAGCGGATCCTACGTATGTAGAATGTGATTTCTCTGCTATTTTTAATTGCAATTTATTTGGCAAGTACTTTTCTCCTTTTTAACGATTCTTTAAATTCAGATTTTTTACAAAATACTTCCTGACCTTTAAAGGTTTTTATACAAACATTGAGTTTCATAGTATACTATTTTTGTTTAATAAACAGCAAAGAAGCTGTTATTACTAACCTCAAACCATCCTTGAATTAATATATGCAGTAGGCTATCTCCAGAGACAGAATATAATGGATTAGGTTGACACCCTTTTTCCAGTAGTTTCGCAGCAAAGCCTCTTTCTATGATGGTCTCTGTTTTGCCTTCCACTGGATCTTCGGTAAAGGCGTTTTTGTTGGTCACCGGCGTATCGAAGGGATTGGATCCGTTCATAACTAAAGTCTCACTGGAGGAGATCGAAGCACGTCTGTCGTCAACGAGAGCATAGTACAAAGGCGGATGTTCGTCTGATAGAGTACGTAAATTAGTGTCCAAGTTGGCCTGCTTGAGTAAGAGATCAAAAACTCTTTGATTTCTTGATATAACTGCTTGATGAAGAGGAGTGCTAAAATAAAAGAAAAAAGTAAGTTAAGTTTCAACAAGAAATAAGATTTAAAAAAAAGCCATACGATAGTTTTGTAATTGTTGTTAATATTAAAGTCCTCGAGATCGAATTTCGGTCACGGCGACCAGTCTCAACGGGAACTGGCCATTTGCGCAGGACAGGATTACGAGTATAGCGCACGAATATGTGCACAAACACAGGTGCGTTCTTTATTATCTTCACAGCCCTATGAGAGGGCAATCCAACACGACCGGAATGAAATCATGCGCAGGACCAACGACTTATAATGATTTCAGAGGCACGTGGATGAAACAAAAAAGTTTTGACAGAAAACCCCAATAACTGATTTTAGACCACCTAATCAGCAGTAGCGTGTACACCAATAAAACCACGAGGCAGTCTATTAAATTAATACGGTAATAACGAAGTAATATAAAATATAATATTTGTTAATGCCTAACCATTTTTTTCATTTAGTCAGGTGCACCGGTTAAATAAAAAAGTATAAATCACAGCTCGGCCTCAGCCCAGCTAGGGCAGTGAGCATGTTGCGCGGGCGCAATGTCATTATCGATAACAACAAATGAATCATCGAAGGCAGGTACACGGCGGCGATGCGATATACAAAGGATGGTGCGACATTGCTATGTTAAGAGTCATTTCAATTTCAAACGTTTCGCAAAAGAACTGGGAAGATTATGTGAATAAGAAAAACTCTAAAAGGGAGATTTGAAGAAATTTCATCTGGCAGAAGATATCGTAATTCATCTGGATGACGATGACTCTGATGATTCTGATGTAGAATTTTAATGTAAATAGTTTAAGATTTAATTTCAGATATAAGTTATTATCTTTATATTTATATTTATTTATAGTTTTTTTAATACGTAGATACCTAATTAATAGTTTATTTTAAAATCATTATTATTCTTATTTTAATAAATACGTTGTTTTATCTAATTTTTTTTTCATTTTTATCACTAACCCAGATAATTGCAAAGCTAAATACATTATCAATAATAACGCTTAACGACAACAATAATGCGCATCACTTTGCTCGTCCCAAGGCCCGTGAGTGGGTGAGAGAGCGAAATACTCCGATGATTTATGACCCAAACTGCACGGACAAAATAATTCTACTATAGGAGAGCTTTCTAGAAAATTCTATACTAGAACTTTCTACACCTAGTCAATTGGGACCGGTATGTACTCGAAAATTCTAGATGTTTCAGTAGAAGAGACCCTATGTAAGGCCGGTTGGAGGCAGACCGACAGAAGGCACAGGCCCGCAGACAGGAATAACAGGTCCGTCGGTTGCAAGAGCAGCTGCAGTGTGGACAGGAGGAACAGGCCTGCCGACAGGAAGAACAGACCGGTCGTTTGGAAGAGTAGCTCAAACGCGATAAGGGACAGCAGATACTCCTCATGAAGGACCTTCGCGCTACCTTCGGGAAAGAGATAAGGGAGTTTAAGGATAGGGTTGCTCAACATGACAACCGCCTGTCGGAAGCTGAAATCCGAATCGACCAAATGAACAATCGGGTTGAAAACGTGAGGCTAACGTGAAGAAAACGCTGGACGAACTCAATCTTTAGGACGGAATTAAAGCTCCCGTAGTAGCTACAACTTTTGATCGCGCCGCCGTTCGACGGGACTTCTTCCTGGTCGACCTATAAAACCCAGTCCAAGGCTGTCATAAAGGCGAACGGCTGGAATAAAAGTCAGGCCATGACTGCTCTCACACTAGGCCTCGCGACTAGGTCTTAACTGTTCTGGAAGCTCTCGGTAAGGAAGTGATTTACGAGCAGCTCCTTGAGGAATTGGACTCGAGACATGACGACGCTCATATAGAACACGTCTTTCGTGCGCAGCTTAAAGATCGCGTACAACGCAGCAACGAAAACCTGCAGCAGTACGCCCTTGAGGTGGAGAAGCTGGTTCGAAAAGCATACCGGTCTGTACCTGCCCTCATTGAAGGGAACCTGGTGCAGACATTCATCGACGGCATCCGCGACTTTAAAGTCAGAGCTGCTGTGAGGCTCGGGCTCGGGCACCACGAGACGCTTAAGGGCCAATACACTGGAGGTGGAAGCCGAGCGGCAGGATCATCATTCTCATCGCGTCAGGGAGGTTGCAGCAGCTACTGTTCACGACCGCAATAAAGAATACAGCCCTAGGTGCTACGGCTGTGGGGAAAGGGGCTATTTTCGATCCAACTGCCCTAAGCGAACTGTAGAAAGGGAAGGTAATCGATCTCAAGAGAAAAGTGCGGCTAACAGCACCGCCCAGTAGCGGCAGAATCGTCGTTCCCATCGCGTTAGAGAGGTTGCAGCAACTACAGTTCGCGACCGCAATAAAAGATACACACTAGCTTTCGCAAACCTTGCAAGAGAATTACGGCTGTCAGCAGACCTGATCACTGGAATACCACCTGGTGTCCCACGCAGTATAACCGATTATGCAAAAGACTTGCGGAACAAAATGAATGACATTTATGAGCACGTCAGACAATTGGGCCTGCAAATGTCTGAAAATATGAAAACCCGGTATGACCGCTAAATGAACAACAAAGGGTTCGACAAAGGTTCACTAGTTTGGTTGTACAATCCAGTCCGCAGCAAGCTAAGCATCAAGCTAAATGGGATGAACCGTGCCGGATTGTAACAAGGATTAATGACGTAACCTACCGGATACAGAAAGGTTTAAGAGGTACTCCTAAGATCATCCATGTTGATCGACTGGCGCGTTATTATGGGGCCGATAATGCTCGGGACGAACATGTCTTAGGAGGAGGCAGTGTTGCGCGCAATAATTAATGCCAGGTATATGGCGAGTTACCACTAGCGCCACCTAGTATACAGTAGCAGAACAAGAAGAGCTTTCTAGAAAACTTCATACTAGAACTTTTTACACCTAGTTAGTTGGGACCGGTATGTACTCGAACATTCTAGAAGTTTCAGTAGAAGAAGCCCTATCTAAGGCCGATAAGGACCGCGGCCGAGTCAGTATTGAACTGACGATATAAACGAATACTTAGAAGCGATACAACTGCGAATTGTGTTCTATTATTAGCGTGTTTTAAATTGTTATTGGTGTTCGGTAATTAAAGTGTCAATTTCGGTAATTGGATAGGCAGTTTTTATTATCACGAAACCCTTCTGTGTAGTACCTAACATTATGTTACGATTGTGTGAGTAGTTGACGCCGTCATAATAGTAGTGTACACCTAAAACTTTTTTTATTACTATTGACTAATTCAAGTCGGCCCATGTAACCTTTAGTTTAAGGTGTCGTACAATAAAGATTATATAAATAAACGAGATCTAATATGCATCTATGCATCTATACATAAATAAATCTGTAGAAAAGTAGTGTCTGTAATTCTAACATTTTCTGGAAAAAAACAAGTCCAGGGGACTAAATAAAGGACACTGAAGCCAAATTAGTGATTTTTAGAATTTTTTCTGTCTGTCTGTCTTCCTCGCCGTGTATTCAAGATTCACGCAAAAACTATTGAACAGATGTCCATGAAAATGTGTGTAGGTAGTTTGGTACCCGAGGTTACTTACAGGCTACTTTTTATCCTACGGAACTTAAAGAAATTGAGTAAAATATTTTCCTTCCTTTAGACATTAATTTCTATTTTAAACAATTACATCAATCGTTTATAATAAATATAAATAAAATATTTATAAATAAAGCCCACAATTAGTTTTAACCGTTGCGTAATAAATTGAACTACTCTGTCGATTATCTACGATATTATTGTTGTATTTACTTTTTCAAGACAGTGCCATCAAAATTTTCATCAGACATTTTCCCTCCAGTTACTAATAAATGAAATAATATAAACAACTTACATTTATATAGCTATTTAATTAAATTCATAATTTATTTTAAAATTCTAATGTACATTTTTTACTTTTGTTATTTCATTTAGTACCAGACATAAATAAATTTTATAGTAAGTAATTATTACTTAAATAGAAAACAGTGACGAAATCATAAAATAAAGGATGTTTCTAAGTCATTATTAAAGTTTTAGTAGGTATTAGTTTTTATATCTATAAATAAACAGATAAATTGCAATTGGTACAAAACTCTTATTATCCTTATAGTTTAAATAAAAAGATTTTTATATATGTACTGGTCAGATCTTAGAATTTATAATATCATAAATTAGTCGGTTATTGAAACTGAAATGGCGGTATTTCATAAAATTTAAGTGTTTATTGACTATACCATGATATAGCTTGACCAAATCAATGAATAGAGAATGATTAGCGATATTAACAACTTGACACGACATTGCTATTTCTAGATGTTATTGTTATATCGTAAAATAATTTCATTACACACCGCTAGGAACGCTGATTGTGTATATTATCTGATAAAAGCAGAATTTTTAATAGATCCTACATTACTTTATTGTTTATTATTTGTATTTTGTTGTGCGATAGAGTCACTCCAGTCGCACCTCAACTTATTGTGTGTGAGTACTAGAGGGTACAGTTTTGGTTGTCATATTTTCGATTTAATAAAAGCGCCATCTACTAACTGCTATATAAACTAATAACTGGTATAACTGGTCAAATTAAACCTTCCGCGTAAATCTTCCGCGTACGAACTCTGTGAAATAGTTTACCACCGGCAATTTTTTCGGACCGATACGACCTAGGGACCTTCAAGAAAAGAGCTTTCCTAACTTTTTAAAAGACCGGCAACGGACTTGCGATTCCCCTGTTGTTGCAGTTGTTCATGGGCGGCAGTAGTCACTTAACATCAGGTGAACCGCAAGCTCGTTTGCCCCCCTTCCTATAAAAAAACGCAGCTGCGTTGTCACCCCTGAGGACTAATATGAAAAGCCTCGTTTCCAGTAAAAAAGGGTCTCCGGATCTCTACACTCACCATACGATACACAGCAGTATTCAGCTGCTATTTTACGCTGGTAATCTGTGAGACCGTGATCTTTGCCGTTCATTAATTGTATTACCTCCACAGACTGCCAAATAAGTTGGATGTTTGCCATAGTTGCCCCGCTTGGCACACGAGTTGCCAACTGCATTTTTTATTATTTTAAGCTATTATAAGGAAGACGCTGCTGCCCATTTTATGTAGATTTCTACTCCTGTTCATGAATTTGGTTCTTCCTACACGTTCACCGTGAATAGAACTACATTTATGAAATTTTGAAGTCTACTCAAACGTAAAATAATACTGGCATGTTGTGCTAATCAATGTTCAATGAGACCAATATTAATAAAGACCACGAAATTAAACCTCATTTCATCAAAACTTTATCAACTTTAATAATGCATATTATATAAATAACGCATTTCCGATTCCAGGACAATTTTCCCCTCATAAAGACACATCGGAAGACGTGTCCGATATAAAAAAGTTGTTGCTTGACGTATGACATTTATGCAATTCTGATAAACTAACTTATGTGTTCCTGTAGCTTATAATATTACCAATATAGACACAGATACCGATGTCTCTCTCCAAGTGATCCAGTTTTGCTAATTTTTGTACGAAATAGTATTATCGATGTTTCTAGCATTCAACCCCACGCGAGCGGAGCCGCGGGTAAAAACTAACAGTATATTTATATACTACTCGAAATTCACCTAAATTGAAACGAAAATCGCAGACTGAAATGTTGTGACATTTACATTTAAGAGATTAGAGTGCTTTTGAACAAAATGTACAAGTTTATAAACCGTAACTGGAAACGGTGAGTCTCCCACGCGGGCGTTGTTTACGTCGCCATGTGGGTGACTAATAGTGAGGAAGCAATAATAATATGATATTATTATCCTTATACAATTGCCTATACATTTAATAATGGTCTCTATTAATGAGTTTTTTTCCTCGTATCTCAGACACTGCTCTACAATAATACCGGTATAGCAATTATTAAAAATGACTAATTCATTAATTTCTACTCCATGTTTCGGATGCAATAAAATTTTATTTGCGTTTTCTATAGTAAAATAAAGAGAAGCGATACCGTACTGAACTAATAGCGTATTAGGTATGTAGTACTTATACAAGAAATAGACAAATCTAGAAATATTTTTATAAAATTGCATTTATAGTAATTGTAATATTTGGAGTGTAGTGCGCGAACTACTTTCGAAAGCAAAGGATTTTACTTTACTACAATATTATTTCATGTGTATATTCAATTATATATATATATATATATAGAAAAGTACTTATATTTAAAATAAAAATGAAAAAATAAATTTATTGGTAGTCATTTATAATGATAAAATAAGTAGGTAGATAAAGTTATAGCCTCGTTTTACTGCTCAGGACAAGGAAATGTATGCCGTTCAGTCCAATGCGTGTTGAGGAACTTCACGTCTTCGAATTTTTTATTTTCTCTTATTTCTCAGACATGTAGAATTCCACACGATGTTTTCTTTCACCGCTGAACACGTGGTAAATCAGCACTTCTTTCAATTTCAATTAATAATTTAATTGTTGGAGGATAGACCCGGGTTGCTCGCGTACTGTGAAATTTACAGCGAGTGCTTAGCCCCTGAGCTACCACGGCTCGAAAAAAAAACTAAAGTATTCTCTAATTATATCGTCTCTCTTACAATTCAAATTAGAACACAACAATAAGCGTACTGTCGTGTAGCGATAGAAATGGGCTAGATAGTAGTACACAAAAATAAGCGTGCTGCCGAGTAGCGATAGAAATGGACTAGAGAGTAGTTAAGAGAGATAGATATTACTACCTAATGTTTTATCGATTATTGGTCAATTATTCGTTTTGATTAACTACATATATAATTAGAATAAAAATGAATTATTACATATTGTATGACAATCTCATTGGTAAGAACCTGATATAAGGCAAGCTGAATACACGTTTCTTGAAATTCCTGGGAGGTAATCATCTCAGTGAACCGCAACCACATACTCATCTCGTTTGTTAAATACCTTAGAGCCTTAGACGGTTCTCACGAAACCGACGAGACGATGTATTGAAATATGAAGATACAGATTTTATTGGTTACCTTAATAACTAGATGCCGTAATATTAAAATTACAATGATGTTAAGTCTACAGAGTATGATTAAAAAGATGACTGTGTCCTGTATCCACGGTCGGACTTAATACGTTAGTTTTGCGTATCGCATTCTTTGTTTAATTTCATAATGAATAGTAGATTTAGTTTTCAACAAAATTATTTCTGTATTTTTTTAAACAAAAAGCGAACTTACGATAATCTGATACGACTAAAAATGATTGTAGATTCATTTTAATTTGATTAAAATTCCAAGTGTTATGAGTTATGAGGTAATATTTTCGTTTTAAAATGTTAATTAAATTGTTACTACTAAGTTTATATAATTACTGTTCTCATGTAAGAGACGACGTCTTCTTGAGAAATAAAGATCTTTAAATCGAATTGTACTTACAATCCTTTTCTGTTTTGACGATTGATGTCGGTGCCCTTTAGCACGACCGTCTCTGCTATCTCAACCATCTGTTCCATAGTCTCGGTGTCGCAGGAGCTAGACGTGAGTGCCGCAATGAGATGCAGCACAGTGTCGCCTTCCTCTCTATAAAAAACAATAGATAGATATACAGGGTGTTAGTGTAAACACCGTTATCCTTGAAACCAGTGGTTTGGTTTCGCTTATAGAACGTAAATTCAATGAAAAATAACAACATTTTTTTTTTAGTAAAATTTCAATTTTCCTTAATTCCTCAATTTTTGCCTGTCCTAAGCCAGGATGAAAGTATGAAGGAAAAGTTACATCACAGGTTATGTGTACCTATTGTGTTTTTATTGGAATGTTGTGTAGGTAGCTAGGGCGGGCGGTGATCTTTACAGTGATTTCGTCACTCGGGCGCATAGGGTCTCCATGAATTTACGGACGGTGTCGGACAGCTTTTAAATTTTATGAAAGAAAATAGCGTTTCTTTTTTTTTAAATTCGGATATGTTTATATTGAAGCCCTACCTATGGTTTTTAGTATTACCGTGGTTTTAGTGACAACGGTGTTTACACTTACACCTTGTATAAATGTTTACTTCTTTAGAATTAGACGTGTTTAAAATGAGTTTATTTTGATTAGCTAAAATTAATATCAAAAAAATATCTCGATGATCATCCGACAAAACTGTTGTACAACTATTTTACTTGCGTTTTATTAGAGCTTGATTTACAGATACACTGTTGTTTGCCGTTTGACTAAGCCACTCATATAGCACTAGCAGTGAAACGCTTTTGTGTTTCACAACTTGGTTGCTCCCTTGTTCTTTTGGTATGAAACTGCTTACTTCATACGCACTGAAGTAGTTGATATTAGGGATAGTAGGTGATATTAGCTATATAGTTTGTAGGTTTCCCGTAACAAATATGAGCTTTTATATATTGTTAATATCTACTTAGAATCTTTACAAATATGTGAATGAGCTCTATTACTCAACAGAATAAATAAATTATTTGTGTCTGTACATTACATACATTTATACAGAAGGTTAATAAAAAAACTGAAGTTTAAAAAACAATGTTATATCGGTCTGCTATTTCAAATGCAGTAGATCTGTAATGTACAGAGCAAGACATAAAAAAGTTAGACCTACAACAATACGTTTTGAACATTATTTGCATCTGCGCACGCTTCAAATGCGGCGTCTCATGCCATCGCTTTTTGAACGGGACTTTTACCGCAAGATGTTGTCTTAAAGCAATAAGTTATTTAGTTTTTAGTTTTGAGCTCGAAACTCCAAAATTTCGATGCGGTGTCTCTTGACATCGCTCTTTGAACTTGACGTTCTTGCCTTACGCATTTAAAGATGTGTCGATCTTAGTAGGAAAGTTTTTGGGTTCTTCTGCGAAGGGTCTTTCAAAACTTAGCTACGACCGCATGGACAGTATTCACGAGTTTTTCTCCTCATTTAGTAATTCAAACTGAAAGTTTTCGGTTTTTTTTTTGTTTAGAACACAGAACGTGTTTTAACACTAGTTAAAAAAAGTAAAGTTACAGCATTCACCACCGAGCACGTGGTAAATCAGCACTTAAAATTACAATTAATAATTTCATTGGTGCGGGATCGAACCCGGGTTACTCGCGTACTTTGATATTTACAGCGAGCGTTAACCATCTGAGCTACCACGGCTACACTAGCATTATTTGAAAATTATTTAGTGTTTGTTATCTTAATTTTCTAGAAAAATAAGCCAACTACAAGGATTCCGAAATCATGCATTAAAAAGATGATATATGTAGCAAGAAATACGTTTTTTTTTTTTCAAAATTATAAAACAAATCTTATATACCGGTAAACTTATGAAAACTTTAGCTTTAACTTTAATCTAACCAACACCATTTTCAGTTTCATCGAAATTAACCTATAAATAATTTAAAGGCAAATCTGTAAACTTGTACGGTTTAAAGTTAACACCATTACAGTTAAAACCGGCGGTATGTGATCTCTTTAATAGTTTTATAGAAAGGATTCCTGTTATTACATCTCGCATATACTACAGTTGCAATTTTTCATATTAGATTTTACTTTTTTTAAAACAATAATTTCTATATCTTATACCTTTAAACGAGCAATTCTTGTATATATATATATAATATCGGAATCTCGGAAAAGGCTCCAACGATTTTCATAATATTTTGTGTCCAGGGAGTTTCGGGGGCAATAAATCGATCTAGCTAGGATTTATTTTTAAAAAATGTCTTTTTGTCCGTGTTTTCAGGCAATGAAAAAACTGCTACAATATAAGAAGGTAAATTTTGACACTGTGTTAATGATCGTAATAGCTCAAGTGGATATCGAGCGGTCGCAAAATCGTAATGCCTTGGTGCGCGTCCCGCCTTCGGTCCAATTTTTTCCCTTTTTTTTCAACTTATATCTTTTGTGAGAAAATCTATTATTTCGAGCCCTTTTTTAAATATTTTCTAATAAATACGAAAATTTTAATTAAACTAATTGCACTCATGATTTTTTATTCCAATAACTAGTTCAGTTTTTTCTATTATGTCAATAAGATCAAAAATATTATTCATCAGTATGTAATTTGTATTTAAATGTAATTTAAAAAAAAACCGAGCTAAGCTCGGTCATCCGGGTACTCTCTTATAATGTATCACATTACCTGGTTTTCATTTTTAATATTACGTATGAAACTCACCGCGTTATTTAACACATCATACAATAGCTGGTGCGAGCATTAAAATGCTTTTAAATCTAGAGCTTCTAACAGTAGTTGAATATTTTTGTTATAATTGTGCGGAGTGTGTTAATTAAGTATTTAGTAGCCTCATTTACATTTCCGTGATCTTACATATGGTTTTAAAGCTATCTATATCCATTTTATGTTCTTTAGATACTGTATCTACCGTGTGGTGGCGGTATAAGAATATCCACAACCGAAATCATACCGAGAGTGTCGTAACAGGCGACAAAGGGGAAACTATAACGAAACTATAACAGGAGATGGGTACGAGCACTTTCTTGATTACAGCTGAAAATAATTCAAAAACTTCAGTTGCCAACCCGTGTGCTAAGCGTGGCAACTATGGCAAAATATCCCATATAAGGCAATCTATTCTGAGCAGTGGGCTCTTGATAAATTTTAATGAACGAATTACTGAAAGAATTAATTAATTGAAGATAATTTATACATCTTACAGTTGAAAGTATTTACAATTTTTGATTTTACATAATTTTTTTTTAATATAAAACAATGTTATCGTGATCTGTTAAAGTAACTTGTAAAACAACAGGTCGTGCTAATAATCTAGTCTACAACATAACCTGGTCTAAACAAGTTTTGTCATGAGTTGGTGAAATTTCACGAAACAGAAAAAGTTTATTCAACCTATCAAAATTATAACTATACAAACATAGCTGCTTGAAAGTCTAAGCTTTTCTTATTTCTGCCTTCATATTATTTAAATACCCAACCCAATCCATTATTGACAAGATAATTTTAATTAATTTAGTGCGTTGTATATCTCTTATGTTAAGTATCTCAAATAACGAAAATTAATTGTTGGTTATACAAAATATCCCCATTTTACAAGTAGTAGAAAAATTCGATACAATAAAACCATTGAATAAACCCCATAATCAACATTCGACAAAACTTAATTTTCGTGGTTGGAAACGAACAGCCACCTGGCCATGAGTATTTCTAAGTTATCGAATTCTTATCGCTATAGAGTGACTTTGTATTTGAAAACATTGTTCCATTTACGTTCGCCAGGGGCACTATTCATATTCCATACAATTTTAGTCGATGACTATACGAAAATCCAAAACGTTAGGCATCAAAAAGTATTGCCCATATATTTTTGCGCCTGCCTTACTATTGCTAACATTATCTTTACTCTTTATTAAACATGATAATAAAAAAATTCCGATTTTTACAAGACTGGTCAGTTTTTTTGATGTTGAAAACACTTGTGCGAAATATGTATTTTTGATGGTTTATTTTCCAGCAAGTTGCCGATTAATGTTAAATTAAGAGCATTTACTAACTTAGTTGTGAGACTTGGGTCGGCTCCATTGTCCACAAGAAACCTGGCAGAGAAGGCATCCCTTGAATCGACAGCTCTATGCAGCAGCGTGCGTCCGCGCGGTCCTCGTGCGTCGGGGTCGGCGCAATGCTGCAGTAGAGTGGTCGCTATTGAAGCGCTTCGCCCGCGCAGAGCCAACTCGAGAGGCAGCTCGCCACGGGGTGACATCGCATTCACGATGTCCGTAAGCTGTAACAAAGTAAATATAACTTAACACTTATTAATTAAAACTGCTTTTACATGTCGAACGATGACAAACGAGCACACAGTCCACCTGATGGTAAATGGTTGCTGTGGCCCATAGACATCTACATCTATCCTCGATTACGAATCAAAATGCAGATGCGTTGTTATCCGTGAGGACTAAGGTAATTTCTTAGTTTTTGATTCCCGAAGTTTCGTGTGTTTTCCAGCACCCATGGTCACGGGGAACTGAGGTGACTGACGTCCTGATGGCAGTGTACACGGAGTACCTTCAGCTTTTTAATTATTATTTATGGTCCGATCTACGCAGAATGAACCTACTGTGTCTTGAAGTCAAATTAATGAAAATAAAACATAACGAAACCTGTGTGTCCGAGAGATAAAAATAATATTTCGGCGGCATGTGAAGTACACCAATGGTGACAACACGTATGAAACCTTTTTTGTTTAAAGTTGATGGAAGTTGTCCATAGGATTCAGTAGTCACGTACCATTGGATGGGCTGTTAGGTACTTTGTAAGCCTAATATCATATTCATTCATTCATTTATTACAGCGCTTCATAAGTCTATTGCTGAACATAGGCCTCCGTGAATTCCCCACTTCCTTCTGCATTCTTTCACCAGGTCGTCACTCAATCTAGTGGATGGCTAATACTATATGAAAATCTAAAATAATAGTAATAATAGCGGTTGATATCCCAATTTTCATACACAAATCAATCATGCAATTTTTTTTATAAGTGTCTCAATAAGGTTAACAAATATATTCCAAACTAGCGACCAGCCTGGCCTTCACCTGTATAGCATCTATTAATGTGGCGTTATTATGATTTATGATAGTCAAAGACCGTTGTTTTATCAATTATTTGTATTTGTTTTTTTTTTTTAATTAAATTGAATTTTTTCAGATAAAATAGAGCCCAGCTCCCTCCTGGAATTATTCTCTGTTCGTAAAATTTCATCACCATCGGTTGAACCATTCTGAACATTAGCCCGGGCAGACAAACAGACAGATATTCCGACAGAAGAACATTTTTAAAAATTTCAAACAATCCCCTGATCTTAAGGCGACACCGCGAAAAAATGCACTTCCTTTCAACGAATAGTATAATAGGACTACTACACCCCTAACGAAAGTGGAATTTTGATATAGGTAAATTCAATCTTCAATTTGAAATTGGCTTGTTCAAAAACACAATTGTATAATTTTGATTCGATCATAATTATTTGCGAAAACACCTCTAAAAAATCACTATAGTTGAAATTACAACGAAATTACTTAATCTATATGCTTGGGAATTACTCAAATATATTCATAACATTAATATTCGTAATTTACTTTTATTATTATTTATTGTAATTTTTATTCTCATTATTTCTAATTTACTTATTATTTTGATTTCTTAAATCAATAATTTTTTTTAAATATTTTAAGATTCTGACAATTCCTAAGCGGTCTTAATCGTAGCGGGCGTTACGCAATTTTAGACCTTATGACGGCGTTTTTTAAGTTTTTATAGAAATTATGTATATTTGTGTTTTTACTCCGAACAGTATAACGATAGCCCGGAGCCATTTTTTCGATGTGTCTTCTTATTAGAAGCCAGTTACCTATTTCAATATTTATCACAGACTGTTTATACATAACAAGGTAAGGTAGGGGTTTTGTTAAAATTTAAATGAAAAAATCAATTGACTGTGACTTAATAATAATAAATACACTTGTATAGAAATTAAATAAACAACGGCCAAGTCGGTACGGGTTATACACAAAACACTGTTCCATAACTATAGACGTAACTATAACAGTATTACCAGTTACTCGACTCGACTTCATTCTTGGGGCGATGTATATACGCTTTTACAACAAACAAACCCAGAAAATATATAAAATTTGACGTGCACAAACTTCAAAAACTTTATTAAACTAAGTTTGTATAAAAAGCGTAATTATGATATTAAGGAATTTATGGATGATAATAACCTCTGGGACGGGTGATCGCTACTAAGCTATTTCTAATTTTTTGTAATGTTAATTGCAACATACGTCATTATAAGCTAATTATTAAAAAAGTCCCGCTGGGTTTCTTGCTGGTTCTTCCCAGGACAGAGGTTTTTTTTCCGAACCAGTGGTAAATTCAAAAAAGTGACTTTCAATAAGTATTGTTTATAATCTATATTGAATAAAAAAGTTTTGTTTCTGTTTCATTTATGGCTGTATAAAAGCTAGATTGTCTTACGGTTGGAACACAAGAATCTAAGAAGTCATTTTATTACCTCGCACGACTTAAATATTATACTTTTAATCGTGCACAAAACTTATTTAATCTTTGAGTATTAAACCAATACTCAAAGTATTTAATAGATATACTTGAATAATAATTAAAAAACCTCAAGGTGGGTCTACGGTAGAAGAGTCGTGCACGACCTGAGCATAATATGCTGAGCCGCTCTACTAGCCGCGTACAACGAGCGTATATCATGCAAATCGATACATGAGATGCAAATTGGAGCGGAGCATAGTCTAGCACGAACCAAACGCTCGAAGCGCGCTCGTTCGAGGTTTGTAAAACGGTCCACACTACAGGAATTCGTGCTCGGCTCATGCTCCGCTCGTGTTCGGCTTATCTAGCGTAGACCCACCTTTACATCACACCTGAGTAGCGAGCGAAGAAACTGTCTCGCCGCGGAAATAATCATGTGAATGGAATAATAGAAAAGTATAACAAACAATTCATCGGTCGTTGCCGATGTGCGCAACAATTAGCCGGCTTCTAGCCGAATCGGATTACAATGCAATTGAGTCGCCGCTAAGAATGCAAGACATGCGCCACCTGTCGATGTCCGAACGCGCTGATGAATTACAATCATTGTTTACTTTCACGATTACTCAATACATTTGTGTCATATCTGTGACGAATGTTTGATTAATATTAAACAGTATTTCATCTTTATCAGATCCCACGTGCGACAGTGGAAAAGAAAGAGAAAGACAAAAACACTTCATTTTGGCGCAGATCATTGACAAAAACAATATACAAAAATTTCATAACAAATATACCAAATTTTAATAAATTTGATTTTGAAGGCATGTCAAGAAAGGACATTACTAACATGAGTTGTGGCGATAACACAAAGGTTATTTTTGTTACATTATACTCCTGTTTAATCTATGGTACACTCACAGTAATTAAGTTTCAAAAAATACCAGTAATACAAAAACCAAATCCCAACCAAAACAATAATGAAAACTACATTTCTTTCGATACATTATTTGAAATTATTTTGTTAAAACTGACATTTTAAAAATGTTTACTGACCTTTGACATTGAATTATTTTCATCGTGAACCTACACTCGCTTTAACATCCAAACTGATTGCGGACCCTTAATGCGCAAACGTAACATTCATCTAGGAAACTATGTACTCCGCCCAGAAGAAGTGAAATTGCTCACGGCTAAGCAACTCCTTCTATTCATTGAAGACATAGGGTTTAGCCGTGAACTATAACGAATACTGGTCTCTTTCCCTAGACCTGCATAGCTGCTCGCACATAATAAAAAAATACAGTAGCTCATTATATATATATATAATGTTCCACTGCTGACCACAGGGCAGTCAAGATTACGAGTTTATGAGGCAGTTAGTTTACTAGCCGTGCAAGTAAGCAAATTTTACAAATCTTACTGTCATACAAGTACTTGCATTTATGTTAACCTGCTGACCCTTATTTTAAGTATACTAACAAACTTGGTGTCTCTACTTGTATCTCTATTATAAAAATAAATCGCATTAAGTTAGTCAATCAGATAATTTTGTGTGTGTTAGAATGGGTTCACATGGGGTGGGTAGAAGTTCAAATTTGGATCCGGTAGGCGGATCGCTAATAGTGAATAAATAACAATAAAAAAATAATTACATTGCTCCTCTTATGATTGAAGAATTCTGGATTACTATAAAAATACTATCAAATTAAGGTATTACTATGTTCTCCAGACCGATTTACGGTCACGGCGGCCTGCCTCATCGAAGACTAGATATCGGCGCAGGATAGCATTATAATGCCCATTGCCCAAGTGTATGCGCAAGCACAGGTGCCCTCTCTATTCCTTCACTCTCATAATCCGATGGAGTGGTAAACCGACACGACCGGAGAAAGATCAGGCGCAGGACTAACGGCTTTAGGTGCTTTCTGAGGCACGGGGGTGAGACACTGCCAATTTCCTGACTCCGGTCAGATTGAGAATTTCTTGACGGAAAAACTTAATAATTGATTTTTGACCCGAGCCCAGGACCTCACGATCAGCATTCGCACTACTCCTAGACCAACGAGGCAATCAAATCAAAGTATTATCTTAGTCACAACATACAATCTAACATTTACTCGTGTGTCAAATTCTTTTAGCAATTTAATATTGCTTTATAACGGCAAAAGAATTTTTAAAACTGACCCGCTAGTTTTCGCAAATTATTCTCGATGTATATATTCACACTCTATAATTTTAATGTGCAAGATAAAATGTAAGGCAACGAACTGTAAAGTTTTTAATTAAAAAATACAATGGAACGATATTAATGCGTTTATACGCTAATTTTGCATTCTTGGAATCTTGAATATTATTTTTCTTTGACGATTGAAAACAATAGTATTCATTCACGCCAAAGATTATCGATATTCACTTATGATGCAAAACTCATTGAACCATTTATTCATTACAGCCCATAAAAGTTCACAGCTGCCCTCTCCATAGATTGCGTCATAATGGGGATATTTGCAATAACTACCACGCATGGCAGACGTGTTAGCAATCGCGGTTTTTTTTTTAGTTGTTAATAAGAAGTCGCTGTCCATCTCCTAGTTTGTTTTTCTCTGTCGCTTTTTACAACAGCCACGGAATGATGTGGGCTAGTGGTTTATCTTACGCCGTCGGCAATTGAAAGCCTTTTCATATGAATATCAAATAAGCTTTATAAATCAGCTTTACCCATGTACATTATATTAATTATATCATATATTAATGTTTTTTTGACTGCCTCGTTGGTTTAGCGGTTGCAGTGCGACTGCTGATCATGAGGGTTCAAATCCCGGGTTGGGCCAAAAAATCAATTATTGAGTTTTTCTGTCAAGAAATTCTCAGTAGTTGCCCGGAGTCAGGAAGTTGGCGGTGTCTCACCCCCGTGCCTCGGAAAGCACGTAAATCCGTTGGTCCTGCGCCTGATCTCCCTCCGATCGTGTCGGTTTACCGTCCCATCGGATTATGAGAGTGAGGGAATAGAGAGTGCACCTGTGCTTACGTGTAGACTTGGGCACTATAATCCTGTCCTGCGCCGTTGGATAGCCTCCGTTGAGGCAGGCCGCCGTGGCCGAAATTCGGTCTAGAGGACATTATATTAACGTTATCATATTTAATTATATCAAATAAAATAGTTAAATAAAATGATGTAATTAAATGCAGATAATAACATAGTGATACGGCGTGCACTAACTAGTCGTCCGTCTGTGAGCCTTTTCGATTAATGTGAGGAAAGATTGAATATGTACTTTTAACCTTTCAGTTTTTTTAACTTTGTTCTTATATTGTAATCATAACAGGTCAGAAATTTATATGCCTTCTCTACGTCTAACTACGTAACTAAAAGGAAATGTACATAGTCGTTGTATTCAGAGTCAGAATAAGCCAAAAAAGTATAATTGTACTTAATATGTTTAGTGTAAAAGCCCCTAGGTAGTGTAAGAGTCTGAGCTCTACTCCCTTTTTGAACTACCTAAAAGCTACGTGCGATACAAAGGTAGTTAGTTGTTTGCTTAGCATATATATTATGTTATTCCACCTCTTGTCGTTCACTTATACACATGACTGCAGACTACAACATATTATACTTAATATGTTTAGTGTAAAGGCCCCTAGGTAGTGTAAGAGTCTGAGCTCTACTCCCTTTTTTCAACTACCTAAAAGCTACGTGCGATACAAAGGTAGTTAGTTGTTTGCTTAGCCTATATATTACGTTATTCCACCTTTTGTCGTTCACTTATACACATGACTGCAGACTACAACATATTATACTTAATATGTTTAGTGTAAAGGCCCCTAGGTAGTGTAAGAGTCTGAGCTCTACTCCCTTTTTCAACTACCTAAAAGCTACGTGCGATACAAAGGTAGTTAGTTGTTTGCTTAGCCTATATATTACGTTATTCCACCTTTTGTCGTTCACTTATACACATGACTGCAGACTACAACATATTATACTTAATATGTTTAGTGTAAAGGCCCCTAGGTAGTGTAAGAGTCTGAGCTCTACTCCCTTTTTCAACTACCTAAAAGCTACGTGCGATACAAAGGTAGTTAGTTGTGTGCTTAGCCTATATATTATGTTATTCCACCTCTTGTCGTTCACTTATACACATGACTACAGACTACAACATATTATACTTAATATGTTTAGTGTAAAGGCCCCTAGGTAGTGTAAGAGTCTGAGCTCTACTCCCTTTTTCAACTACCTAAAAGCTACGTGCGATACAAAGGTAGTTAGTTGTTTGCTTAGCCTATATATTACGTTATTCCACCTTTTGTCGTTCACTTATACACATGACTGCAGACTACAACATATTATACTTAATATGTTTAGTGTAAAGGCCCCTAGGTAGTGTAAGAGTCTGAGCTCTACTCCCTTTTTGAACTACCTAAAAGCTACGTGCGATACAAAGGTAGTTAGTTGTTTGCTTAGCCTATATATTATGTTATTCCACCTCTTGTCGTTCACTTATACAAATGACTGCAGACTACAACATATTATACTTAATATGTTTAGTGTAAAGGCCCCTAGGTAGTGTAAGAGTCTGAGCTCTACTCCCTTTTTCAACTACCTAAAAGCTACGTGCGATACAAAGGTAGTTAGTTGTTTGCTTAGCCTATATATTATGTTATTCCACCTCTTGTCGTTCACTTATACACATGACTGCAGACTACTGCAGTTTTTATTCGACTATTGAATGTTGTAACACTATAAAATAGACATAAATTTATTTTTAGTATGGAATATGAAATTAATATCATAATGAACCTCAATAAAGAATCAGTGATGTAGATGTATTCTCGCCAATTAAAGCATCCTACCAGACTCAATTGTGTATGTATGTAACACCTTTGATGCTTCGTTGGTAGTGTAGTATAACCCTTACGATTAGCTTCTACGAAATTCGGCAGCATTGTGCTACTGATGAGATTAATCAGTAACAGGATGACTATTAAACAGAAAAGATGGGATATGACGACACAGCTTTATTTTACACTTTCCATTTTTCGTATTCACGGAAGGGATGGTAGCCGTCGCATTCATTTGGGTACAGTAACATTAAGAATAATCAAGTTTAAAGGTCTAAAAAGTCAAGTGTCCTATATCTCGAAAGTAACAGTGTACAAGTGACTTGTCTTTTTGCTTTGGACCGGTTCCTGCACAATAATGTTTAGCAACTGCATACCTTTCGTCCGCACGGCACAACTGAAATAAATTCAAAGTTATAGAGTAGGCGACTATTTAAAAAAAACTGCATATATATTATAAAATTAACGACCCCCCCCCCCGTTTCGCCTGAGTGTATTAATGTAGAGTCATTTAGATTTAAGACCATCATTAAAAACCATATATTTAACTTTTAGATTTCACAATAAAATTCTCCAAGTTTTTGAAATAAAATATAACATAGATCACTCTCAGCATGTCTCTTTTTTATAGGATAGGGTGACAAACGAGCACACAGTCCACCTGATGGTAAGTGGTTGCTGTGGCCCATAGACATCTACATCTATTCTCTATTACGAATCAAAATGCAGATGCGTTGTCACCCTTGAGGACTAAGATGGAATGCCTCGTTTCCAGTAAAAAGGGTATCTGGTTCTCTACACTTACCATACGAAACACAGCAGCATTAAGCTACTATTTGACGTTGGTATTCTGTGAGAGCGTGGTCCTTCCCCGGCCAAGCCGACCCATTCGTGCTACAAGTATACTACTAATATAACTGCAGCATGGCTCTGCCACATATAGAAGGCTCTCTATTTGTTCAAGTTTCTTTAAAAATAATAATCGGTACAGCCTGCCCGAATATTAGCCCGGGCAGACACACAGACAGACAGACAGACAAAAAATAATAATCGGTACAGCCTGCCGAATATTAGCCCGGGCAGACACACAGACAAAAAATAATAATCGGTACAACCTGCCGAATATTAGCCCGGGCATACACACAGACGGACAGACAAAAAATAATAATCGGTACAGCCTGCCGAATATTAGCCCGGGCATACACACAGACAGACAGACAGACAAAAAATAATAATCGGTACAGCCTGCCCGAATATTAGCCCGGGCAGACACACAGACAGACAGACAGACAAAAAATAATAATCGGTACAGCCTGCCCGAATATTAGCCCGGGCAGACACACAGACAGACAGACAAAAAATAATAATCGGTACAGCCTGCCCGAATATTAGCCCGGGCAGACACACAGACAGACAGACAGACAAAAAATAATAATCGGTACAGCCTGCCGAATATTAGCCCAGGCAGACACACAGACAGACAGACAGACAGACAGACAGACAAAAAATAATAATCGGTACAGCCTGCCGAATATTAGCCCGGGCATACACACAGACGGACAGACAGACAAAAAATAATAATCGGTACAGCCTGCCCGAATATTAGCCCGGGCAGACACACAGACAGACAGACAGACAAAAAATTGGTTATTCATATTTTAATAGCATGCAAATAACTCTCTCAACTCGATAAAAGTCATTCATTTCGATATTACCGACTTAAATTTTATTTATATGTATCGATTTTTTACTAAGTTATGTCATCATGTCAAACTCACGTTTAAAATCGCAATTTATTTGAATATACAAATATTTAATAATTACTGTAAATTAATAATAAAAATTAAAAAGGAATTATTATTATAATTAATCAAATTTCCATGTAAAAAAAAGTAAAGTAAAGTTACAGCCTATATACGTCCCACTGCTGGGCTCAGGCCTCCCCTCATTTCTGAGAGGGTTTAGGGCAAGGAAGTGTCCGCCGCGCTGCCCAAATGCGTGTTGACGAACTTCACATGTCTTCGAAATATTTTTTTTTCTTATTCCTCAGACATGCAGGTTTCCTCACGATGTTTTCCTTCACCGCCGAGCACGTGGTAAATCAGCACTTAAAATTGCAATTAACAATTTCATTGGTGCCGGCGGGGATCGAACCCGGGTTACTCGCGTTCTGTTATATTTACAGCGAGCGTTAACCACTGAGCTACCACGGCTCATTTCCATGTAACGATCACATTTAGTATTATATTACGGTACACTCTGAATGAGTGTATATAATAATATAAGCATCTACACATCAATTTTACATACCATTAAATTACGAATTAATGCCTAACTACTATTCCTAAGCATTAAAATACAGTAATACGAATACAGACCCTGGAAACGAGGCATTCCATCTTAGTCCTCAGGGGTGGCAACGCATCTGCATTTTAATTCTTAATCGAGGATTAACGTAGATGTCTATAGGTCACAACATCTACTTACCATCAGGTGGAGGGTTCTTATTCAATTAAAAATAAAAATAAAAAACACAACAACATTCATTACATTTATGTAATGTATGAGACAATATGTGTATTTATAATAAGAAGTATGACAGCACAGAGCGCAGAACAAACAACAATGTTTCCATGATAACGGTTTGGTTAATTCCTCGTCTGAAATGTTATAAAAGCATTCCATAACGTTTGTACATATCAATAATAATATTATGTCCGCGTTTTGCCGTGTTATATCAGACAACAATATTATAACTTACTTCTGAATAGGGTTGCTACCCGTACTATAATATATAGTAATACAATTGTGCTATATATTATAGAAAACTAATATAGTAAGAAAAATACTGTATTTTTATCTCTAATTCAACTGTCGCTCTAACTGTGATTAGAAGCTTAGAACAAGAAAGTTTTACGGAAAGAATTCTTTCAGTCATGAATGTAAAATTGAAAGAAGAAAGAAATAGAGCTTGAATTATATAATTTATTATTTTTATGTGAATCTAAATTGCTCTGACTCCTATAATTATTTTAAAGGTTATCCTATAATTATTTTTAAGGATCCTTGGAGGTCAAAGCAAAGAGCAGAACAAATATTTATGGAAAAATATATATCGCATGTATATTGTCGAAGCCGCAATATTACAATTTCACTAGTGATATTATAATTGAACGATAGATTATCAATCGCTCTCACAGAATACTAGCGTAAAATAGAAGTTAAATGGGTGATAGAGATCTGGAGACCCTTTTTTTACTGGAAACGAGGCATTCTATCTAGGTCCTCAGGGGTGACAACGCATCTGCGATTTGATTCTTAATCGAGGATAAATGTAGATGTCTATGGACCACAGCATCCACTTACCATCAGGTGTAGTGTGTCAATATAAAAAAAATACTTTCCTTGCCTTAGGACGTAACTGTTGAGAACAAGCTGCTTGTCAAACTGCAGCTTGCTGTCAGTGAGTGACTCTAGACTGTAGACTTACACTTAAGTCTCGAACTGTATATCACTAAGAAATTTCAAGTAATGATGCTACAACAAATAACGGGGAAGGCCCGCGCTCTCACTGAATACCAGCGTAATGTGTTAGCTCTGTCACTATCTATTAACCAGGTAGAGTAGGACTTCTGTTCTGTCTAGCAGTACGTCTGGCTAAATACCACCCTCTTACCTTTTTTGCCGCCAAAGGGCAGTGCTAGCACGGCTGTGTTCTGATCCGAAGCGTATTAAAAGCCAATATAGGCTGTGGGGTATTTCATCTTAATCGTCCAATTGACAGCGCATGTTTAGCCTTCTTTTTTAAGTAGGCTGCAGGTGTCCATGACCATGGCCACTTACCATCATGTGGATTGTAATTTCGTTTGTCATTTCAGTTTTATATAGCGGTATAGCCAGCAGTGACTAATCAGTATTATTACTAATCAGTATGGGAATTTATAGGTAAATACGAGTTATTTGGTCTCAGACTCGTTGTTGCTAATAATTTACTAAAAACTGATTGTGTAGCCAAACCGGTTCTGCTAAGAACAAGTTACTGCTATCTTTACATGGAGCTAGCAAAAAAGTAACGAAATCAATAATTTATTCAGTTAAAAAAATTTTTGCTGATATTGTACGCAAAAATAATGTAGCAAACTCTTAGAATTACAAAAATGCTGAATTTGGCAACTGGTAGCAAACTTGCAATATCCATGCTACAATAAACACGCGGTTTTTATAAACAAGATGCAGTAGAATTTATCGTTGCTGGCCAGAAATGAAACTAAGGATGCTCAGAAGACCGGCAACAAAATAAAAACAAAATATCAGCTAACCTGGTAACCAGTGGCTAACTTCACGAGTTCATGCAATAGTAATAATAAGTTTTCAGAGACGCAATGCAGTCATGGATCTTATTGCTGGCTAGAAATTACATTTGAGGGGCTCAGAGAGCCAGCAACAAAATAGAATCAAATCATAGGCTGGAGCTGGCAAAACCGGTAGCTAACTGCTATGCTCCATACAGTTATCATCATCATTTTTACTCCCCTAAGGAATGACACAAATCACGATCCTGAGGAACCGAATCCACCGACTTCCTGCACGTTTTACCAGATTGTCACTATCTACTGGGGGCCGTCCTAACCTTCGCTTACCGGTATGAGGTTGCCACTTCAGAACTTTTCTTCCTTTCCGGTTGTCCATGCTATAATAAAACGTGGTTTTTACAGACAAGATGAAGGCATCAATTTTGTTTGAGGTTTGTTGTTAAGTTTTTGACTACGACAGCTAAAATGTTGGACAAATTGTTTTATTATATTTTCGATCATGGTACGTGTTAACGTCGGAGAAAAAAGAATCCGACAGGGATGCATTTTACATAAACGCATGGCGATGAAAAAAGTATAGGCGCGTTGTGTACCCAAAAGTTTACCAATGCGCTGAAACAAAACAGACCGATTATTGTACGATTCCTTTAGAAACTCTTGCAACAAAATTCTTTCATAACAAATAAAGAAACTGCTCCACATTTACGATACCAAAACAAAATTATAGTCTAAGACTAGGAAAAGATCTTCATCTCCAACTTATGCCTCCATATTTAATAGACCTTACACCTA